TGTTGATGACGATTTTGCTTAAGGATACCTCAGAGTCAGCCATGCCAAAGCAGAATGTATTGGAGACTGACTTGTTATGCAAATATTTACTTTTTGGATTATGTCAAAAGCGAATGTTTCGCACTTACACAAATTTACGTGACTCGGGAAGGAAACACCTGATGTTGATTCAATAGTTGATAATTAATTATTGTACTCGGTCCTTAAGTAACGATCATTTTTCAAAGTCAGTCACTAAGTGAGTGCGTCTGAAAGCTGGTTATACTGCACACATAAATGTTTAGAAGGATGCAGGAGAGCGGTGGCTTCCAAAGCTGGGTTTCTCCTTTAAGATGGTTGTATACAGTGTAACATAAGAAAATTTTCAGTGACTTAAAATATGCTTTTGCTTGAATGATTTGCTAAAAATTTACTTTTTGGAAAAAATCGATTTGGACGCATTTTACTGCATAGTTTATTAGGAAGTTTCATACGACTTTTTGTTACTGAAAGACCTACCATTATAATGATTTTTAGCTTTCAATATATATTAGTATCATTAATGCTATACTGGTCTTTTAGACCATGTTCGGTCACTCATAGTCAACGACATTTTATGACTTCATTCCATATCATTCACTTTGTCTCGCTCCTCGCACTCGGCGGGCATAACGTCTCCCTCTCTTCATTTACTGTTCGACCTTTCAGGTCATTTTTCAGCATTGCAGACTGAACATCACAACTATAGTCTTTGTTCGCTTCTCATTGTATTTGTTTGTGGATTATTAATATTGCATATCGTAAGTGACCCTGTAATTAATCCTCATCTACCATGAATGAGAAAGCACTGCAGAACTGATTTTAACAGAAGGCTCGTGGCAGTTGCTTAACCATGAGCTTAGCAGCTTGCTCCGGAGCCGTTTGCATATGAGAGATGGCATGAATTAGCGTTCCGCGTAAACAAAGACTTAACATTTATGCGAGCTGTGGCATTTGCAACGTAGCTTCCACTCCCTCGAAGATGGCAATAGTGCTGGAGAGATGTAAGCTTCTATATGAAGAACGCTCGTTTGGCTAGAAACTTCGAGATTGCGTGTAAATCACCTTTAAGTGATGTTCAGACGTTGCATTTTGTCAAGTGTCTCACATAGAAAGAATGTAATTTTATAATGCATTCTTTCAACGACATCAAATATTTCGCTCCATAAAATACAGGGGTGCAATCGACGATGCCACGCATTAAGTAGATTCTAGTTTTCTTCTCAAGCAATGATTCTAGTTAAAATATGAGTTTATCATAACACACAGCAAACTGGTTACGCTAGGCAATCCATAAGTAATAATTAAAGTTCTGGATTTTTGGCCCATTGCTGGAGCGGAAAAGAATTTGACGATTTATGGTGTATAGCCTTAAACAATGCAGTATTAAAATCGTTACTATCTATGAGCTTCACTATCACGACGGTAACCCCCTCTGCCCTGAATCATGGATCGAAAAATCTGTTGGATTAGGAAACAAAGTTTCTACTACCACTATTAGTTCTCTTTAGCCAAGAGTTTTCGAAAATTGTTGACAGATCCAGAAGAAGTCTGTTCTCAAGTGTGACTTAATTTTGTCGCGTATTACAGTACAGTCTTTTTTATCGATATGTTTCCCAAAACGAGAAATTTAAAATTTATGACTGTCATAACAAATCGTCAGGCTAATATCATCTTATTTATCCACTGACAGAAGTAGAGAAGATATGAGATAGACGGCGTTCTGAAATCTAACAGTTACGCCTGACAGAGTGACAGAACGGAACCTCGATGTTATGGGGAGCTATCGATACAGCCGTTGAATGTATCACAGCAAAAATAATAACGATATCGGATTCAAACGGCGAATGCACAGTGTAAAGGAAGAAAAATTAATTTTTCACTTTACATCAGCAGCTGATTGCCCCGCCCCTTTGCTTCTAGACGCCTAGGGGACCATTTTAGCATTTACATTTTTCATCTGTGACAGACTAATCCCATTTCTAAAGCGCCTGTAAATCTTCTTTACACACAGTTAAAGTAGAGTAGTCTGCGAAAGGAAAAAAATGGCGGACTTCAGAAGTAGACGAAGTGAGGTCTAACATATCTCGGAAAATCTAGCGCGGTGATGATTGATAGAACGCGTAAAAACTACTGTTTTTTAATAAACAGTGCAATATCAATTAAGTAATAGTTAATCGGCATAGGCAGCGGAGTCCGGTACTAGATTTTTTGAATCAGTGACGTCTCTAAGATTATAAGAAAACAAGAGCTGGCATCAGGTCAGCTGCTACAGAACATTTTTGATATCTGATGTTTTGCACCACAACGTGAATCCAGCAGTTAGCATTTAACCTCCCATGGTAAATGGTGACAAGAAGCACGGGGATGTTGTAACTCTTTGCGACATTCGATGAGTCAAACAAGTCAGTTGTTACCTGCTGACAAATCGACGGCATTATGTCCATGTTTCGGATATATCCTATGGGATTTTCTGTACGCGTGTACAAGAACAATGGTACAAATAAAACATCAGACGTCGTTAAGGTTTTTTTCTGTAGATTCTCGACGTTAAAAGCTCTCATCATCGAGTCCGCTTTTCCT